GACCGCCATACGATTAAACTAAACCCCACCGTTTCATACCTCTTAATTGTATAGTTATAGCAAAATTATCATGTTACTAAAAACCTACCAGTAGCAACTATAGTTACGATGTAAACGTACCAGTTCTAACAGACTTTCACGTTCGTGTCTTGTTCCCTCCGTGTTTAGCGAATTTTATTTGCAATCTAAGCACATGGGGAATTCTGGGGCTTATGGTTACTTTCCGTTTCCAGTAAAAAAGAGCAAAATTGAAATCGTTCTCGGCAAGTTCGGTATTCTGAACCTTTTATTAGCTTTGTTGTTGGACTCTGGACTTTAATGTCATTTTCAAAGTATGTTTTCCACTTCTGTTTATCTTATTTAGACTGCAAAATCGGAGATGTTATGCCGGCCTTTTCTCCATATTCCTCCTCTTTGTAAACGACAGGGTGTGGATTACTTCACACCATAAAGTACGTACGCCGACAAAATGCAGTTACTTTTACAATATTATCACGCTGTGTGCGCATATCATGCATCCTATGCCGGAGAACGGTGATATATTTCTTAGGCTTGGCTGTCGGCTACGCGTCGAATTTGTAGATGGTCTTAGTAGAATGGTTTCAGCGGAAATATGCCAACCAACTGAACGATATCAGAAGGATACGCAGTTGCGTAGTTACGATAGTAGTTCAACCAGGAATCGAGAGGTCGAAGACTTCTACATCGACTTCACTATCAAAGGTTTATTCACATAGCGACACTATCACGAGCTGGTAGTGAAAAGCGTGATTATGGCCATTAAAAAATCAACACAGGCCTCCATATTAAGGAAGTAAGCGAGTACTAGGATACCTGTAGGAATGCAACGATGATCTTTGGTCACCATGATGGTGTGTTCCAAAATCCGAGGTCGGGGAGTTAGCGTTTAAAGACGATAACGTTTTGGCAGTGAGAACCAAAATGAACGAGAATACGAATTTAGCTTTGCTCTATGAGGAACTTCGTCTCCTGGTCATGACCTTTTCTAAGTACCACGCGGCATCAACTCAGATACAAATCGATTGAGATGATGCGTCAAGTTCCAGGTTCGCGGCTACTGTGGATCTGATTCTACTCAATAACAAAAAAGATTGGCTGGCGTCGAGAGTGTCTCGTAGCTATTAGCCTCCCTTTTTGCCCCGGAGTGGCACGGAGTCTCACTTCGATTCACGTGCATGTTCCCTCAGTGAAAATGTGGTTGTCCTCTTCAAAGATGAACATCTTCATCAGATTGCATTTTTGGCTTGGGTGCAAATTGGTCTTTGGGGGTGTCGAGTTTAGGGAGAAGCAGAGGCAAGGGCGGGATATTTATTAAGCTATAGTGTATTACAAAAGAAGGTTGACTTGAACGCGATTGTTGTTGTTGCTGTGACAGTTTTCGCAGGAGAGGTACTAGTGATTTAATGTGATTAGTCTACCAGAGTGTTGAGCAGGCAAAGGATCGGGCGTGTGCCAGGCAGCGAAGTGAGGTAATTCATAACTGGAAGCGCCATGTGTGGGCCGAGGTCTCTCAGATGATCTAATAAACGCTTCATATATTGGATCCAGCTTTGGAGACACAGATTCCAGAGGCGTATGCGAATAGCGAGATGTATTTATTAATTGGTCAAGCTACTTGATGCGACGTCACAGGGATTCGCAGGGTGGAGCAGCTTAGTAAGAGACGGTATGTGTTCGACCATTGATTTCGATGAAGTCCACCAAGTGCCTCAACAGGTTGGTACAGAAGGTTACAGTCTCAGGGAGTAGCTTTAAAGTTAAAGAGGACGTATTTAGCGCCAACCGCACTCATCACCTTCACCTGGAGTCTCGACGAATAAACGGGGTCCGGCGTAGGCTGCTTTCTCCAATGAAAGCCGAAACACCGCCTAACTTAGTCTGGAAGTGGAGGCAGATGAGGTGATGGTGTCATTTGACGTGATCTCATTGTTCACATCTATTCCACCCA